TTGTAACAGTTTCATTTCTCAATTTATCCTTCATTATTCCTCAAACATTCAATTGGATTTATATCTAGTTATTTTGGTAGTGGATATAGTTGTTTTGGTGTTTGGTAGAGGAACCATTGCTTCAGAATTTGAGTTCTACGTTTTGGTTATTGTTTTGCTGAAACACCCAGAATTTTCACAAACCTAATTTCATTATGTTTTTGTTTAAATTTGCTTCCAGTGTTTAAATTGCCAAAACAATCAGTTTTATTCTATAAAAGCAAATTCTAACCAAAAACTGCCATGCATCTCCAAACCATTTGGGATCCTCCACCATACTTTAAACTTACTACCTTCTTTGACTAAAGTTCAGAATTTGTAGTTCTCCAAATTTTTTAACATTTTTGATATGTGAATATCTCAAATTTACATTCATCAGTAAATAATACATTATGTTCCCAATATTCTAAAGGAGCATCTTTAAATCTTTTCGCAAATAAACACTTTTGACAATATTTTTTCATTGGTACTCTACCATGAAACCCATGGAAATTCAGTGTTCTGATAGTACTTGCTCTTAGTAGTAATCCTTTCACACCAGAGATTTCATGCACAAGTTTAATAGTACTATTGTTGAGATTATGTTTAATTTTTTGAATTACTGCATGAATGTCTGCATTTAATAGCTTCCTGGATCATCCTGAATGAGAGAGCATTTTAACAGTTCCTGTACAAAAATATCTTGTCACAATACCTTGAAGAGTTATAGAACTTTTCTAGACAATTTTTCCAATTTCTCTTATTAACTTACTTTCATTTTTAACTATATAACCAGTTTTCTTGTTTCCTCAAGTTTCTTTACAACCAATACTTATGACAATACTTTATGTTAACTGTGAGGTTGTATTTTATCACTATTTTCAGTGAAAACATCACTCTTTGAACAACAGTGCAATTTTCAAACTAAATCAGCAAATGCATGTACATTGTAAGATCACTTTTGATTTGTAGATTTCTGTCTTTAATCAAAAATACACAAGCAATTCATTTGCATATGGCAACATACAATTTTTAGTGATGGGAACTTTAAAAAAACTGATTTATAGAATTATTTAAAATAAAAATTCCAAGTGATAATTTAACATGTCAGATTTTTCCCATATTAACTTAGGAGGCATGTATGTTAAATTTTGATTCTGATTATTTATACTTAAGGGGGTCAATGGAAAAATCTCTCTTAAAAGAGGCCAATACATGAAAAAAGGCTAGATATTCTCTGTACTAGAATTCTTTAGTATAGTAAAATATTTTGGACTTTTAATCTTTGTTTTCAAATGACTCAGAATAACCATTTTTAATTTTTTTTGGCTTACATTTTGTTAATCAANTTTTACATCTGCTAAGCAGTTGCCCATAATCCTAATGAAATAAATTAAATTTCATAAAATTAAAAATCTACCATGTTTTGAAACCGTGTCGTTCTTTCTTTTTGTTCTATAAGCGCAATGTAGCGTAATAATGATCACTTGGCACCATTCACTTCTTTATTTCACTTTTCGTTGATACGCGTTAGTGATCGTTATTACGCTACATTGCGCTTATGTAAGCAAAAAAAAATTAAAAATATGGTTTATTCTATTTATTTAATTTTTACAAATGACCGAAAATAAGGACTGGCAACCTTTGTTAAAGAATGAATGTCAAGCCTCACTAAGCCTGTGCTATCTATTAACTATACCTACTGCATCTCAATAGAACTGGATAAGCTGTTGGTGGTTAATGGAATCGCTCATCTCCCAGACCTCCAAGAACCAGCTGTTTTCCTTGAGGATTATAACTCCCACAGTACATTTAAATGATGACAAAGGCAACATTATAACTGACTGGATGGAGTCAAAACAATTACAGCTGATTTTTGACTCAAAACAAGCTGGCACTTTCACCTCTGGCAGATGAAAAACTAACAATAACCCTGATCTTTTTTTCAACTCCAAATCTCTTCCTACAACCCTCCAGCAAGATCTTTAACCCCTTCCCTAAAAGCCAACATAAACCAGTAATAATTATCTTAAGCACATCAATCTCAACCGTCAAAAATGCCCCCATTCCAAGATGGAATCTCCACAAAGCTAAATGGTCTGACTATACACATTGTATTTAATAGAACTGAATATAAATAGAATCCCTCCTAAATGTGAAAATTATAAAAGATTTCAAAAATTAATTAAATCCCAGCAAAAATTCACATACCCAGAGGGTATCATAAAACCTACATACCTGATTGGAATTGAAAAAAGCAAGAAACTATACAGAAAATTTAAGACATGACAATAGCAGAAGAACTTGTGAATTCACTAAATGAAACCAGAAGAGAGAGATGGATAGAGACAATGAATAGCCTATACTTTATCAGATCAAGCAGGAAAGCTTGGTCTGTATCCCAAAAACTTAACAACACTTCCACTCTTAACAGGGGCCAACTTAAAATCATGGCTGGGGGCTTTGCTAAACACCTGATGAATATATCAAGGGTTAAAATACCAGACTCTCAATGGAACAAAGTTAACAAGAAACATAGGAACCTTTGGAAACTCTCAGATGATCAAACTCACCTAGAATCAAAAAACTAGGAATAAAATAGATACAGTGGAACCTCGGTATATGTCTGCTTTAGAATACGTCCAATTTGGAATACGTCCTGTTTAGACGAAACAAATTTTGCTCGGTATATGACTTAATTCAATTATACACGTGATCTATGAACAAGTTGCACTATCAGTGTACTAGACCAGACTAGACGTTTGCGGTGCCATGGTTTATAACTTTGTTAAATTTCTTCTGATTTTAATTTGTAAGTAAAATTTTATTATTTTTATTAATCACAAATTGCAAAAATGCAACAGAAAAATAAAAAAATGACTAGAATCACAATGGAACTGAAAGAAGAGATTGTTGAGAAATATGAAGGTGGCACGTGTGTTCGAGATTTAACTGTTGCATACCGTATTCCGAGAACGACGATATCGACAATCGCGAAAAATAAAGACATTATTAAATCTGCTAACGTTGCAAAAGGGGTTAAATCAATTTCTAAACAGAGATCGAAGACATTAGATCCTGTCGAGAAATTGCTTTTGCTTTGGAACTGAAAAACAGTGTGCTGGCGACAGCGTATGGGAAGAAATTATTTGCAAGAAAGCTAAAAAGATACACGCTGATCTCATGAAAAATCAAGCAGGAACTAGCGAGGAAAGCAAGGTGTTTAAAGCCAGCCATTTTTTTTTTACATGAGAACGGATTAATCATTTTTACATTATTTCTTATGGAAAAGGTTGGTTCGGTGTAAGTCCGAACACCAGGAACAGATTAAGGTCGTATACCAAGGTTCCACTGTATTGCCATCTCTACTATCAAGAGAGGTAAAGCTCCAGGAGTAGACATAATATTGCCTGAATTCCTTATCTGCCATGGGTCTAAAACAAGAGACTGGCTAGTTTGAATATCACAAACTCTTTGTAGAATGGAGTTTCTGTACATTACACACCCAAGTGTGTAACGTACAGAATTGTTTAACTCCAATAAGTCTGGCTAGCTAAATTATTTATAGACATTCTACAAAACAGTAAATTTTTGATTGTCTCCATATTTTGATATGGAGACAAGCAAAAATTTTCACCATTTTAAAACTTCATAAAAAAGTAGATGACCCAAAAAATTTTCATTCAATCTCTCCTCTGTGTAACTCTAAAGTTGTTTGAACATATAATACTGCAAAGAATTATATGTTCAAACAATCACTCCAATAATAGAGCCATTCCTGCCTCCAGAACAAACTAACTTCCAGCAAGGACAAAGCTGTTGTGAACAAGTACTCATTCTGACTAACTGTATTGAAATAGGCTTCGAGCACAAACTAAAAACAGGTGGAGTGCTTATAGATCTCTCAGCAGATTGTGACAGTGTGGAAAAATGGATTATTATTAAAAATAGGAAAAATTATTTGCTGCAAACCTGTGCTAAAAATACTAAACCAGATGTTATCAAACAGTAAGCTTCACATAAACTTAGGAGAAAACAAAAGCAGATATGAAGTCTTATAAAATGACTTGTCTCACGGCTCCGTTTAATCTCCCACTTTCCTCAATGTTTATACTAATGATTTACCTAGACAAAATTGCAAAAAGTTCATCTATTCAGATGATATTGCTTTAGTCATCCAATATCATAGTTTTCAACAAATGGAAAAGATCATCAATACTGATAAAGAAAAAACTTATCTACATAACTGGGGACTGAAACCAAACCCTATTAAATCTATCTCAACCTGCTCCAATAAAATAATAGAAAAGACAGTGCCAAACTCAACATCAAATTCTGGATCATAGCTCTAATCCAACTTATTTCAGGATGCTGTTCAATTGTAGCCTTACAATACCTATTAAAACTAAAGTAAAAAATTGCCACAGAATCAATCTTATCAACAAACTAGCAGATGAGCCCGGAGTTGCCCAGGCAAAAAACAACAACAAAGATTAAGATTATTAGATTATTTTGTACTTCTAATCCTTCTATTCTAGTAGCCCGGGATGCCCCCTAGTAGGCGTTCTAGCATCTGTGGTGTCATTCCGTGGTATAAATAATAAATTGCTATTACAAATAAAAATAATAATATACTGAATTTCTCATGGCATATCCTACTAAAATGCAGCCAAAAATGCATAAAACTGCATAAAATAATAATATACTGAATTTATTGTTAATTTAAATAATAGCTATGGCCATTTTTGGCATACAGTGACAGAAAGAAAGAAAATGCCCAGTTTTTCAGCTTTATATAGTAGACTAGCTTACCCGTCGCGCATTGCTGCAATCTCAGAAGAAAGGAAATTTAAGCAAACTCGTTATGACAAAATTCAATTTACATTTTATCATTTTTATTGAAACTTATTATTATTACATTATTATTATTGTTCATTTTCATCGGGAAAACATTTCAAAGTGTTGTTTCAAGCGTCGTTTATTTACTGGAGTGCTTGTGGATACACGATATTTTTTGTTTTTCCCTCTGGTGCGTACACAAATAAATCAGAAGGTTTTCCGACGCGTGAGCTGGCCACATACAGTTGTCCATGTGAGAAGCACGGATTCTCTAAATCTAGCCCACACACTTGCAGCGATTGTCCTTGTGCTTTGTTGATGGTCATTGCAAAAGCGATTCACACCGGAAACTGCAAACGTTTGAATTCGAATGGCATATCTGTTGGGATCATTGGAACACGTGGCAACAGTACATCTCCCCCCTTGAATTTCCCATTCAAAATTGTAGCTTCGATGACATTGTTCATCATCTTTTTCACCGAAAGTCTTGTACCGTTGCAAAGTCGTGGTGGATTGATGTTACGAAGAAGAATGATAGGCACGCCAGTCTTCAATGTTAAAATGTGTGGTGGCATTCCTGGCAAATCTAGTGAATTCAAGAATTCCGTTGGGTAATTGACAACTTCGTCTTGATTCATAACAGTATCGATGGACTTATACGTTGTCGCTTCGCCTGGTATTCTGTTTTGAATGCTGAAATTGATGTCATTGACATCTTTGTTCTTAGCTGCTAATATAGCACGTGTACTGAGCCACTGATGATTTTTGTAATTCCGCGCGATATTTGGGAAAACCTTTTGAATCAATTCACCTTTGGTTGATGTCATCTTACAAAAATTTGTTGGCAATGTGATACATTGTGTAGATCTGTCTATTGCCATCTTCCCATTCCCAATATCCAGCAATTGTTTTGCGAAACGTTCCGCGGATACATCATTTTGTAATTCAACACGCATATTGGTTTTCAAAGTCAATTTCTTTACATGTCGCCATAGAACTGATGATTTCAGACATGCATTAAGTTCATCAGCGGGTGTTGAACGTGGTATAACTGGCAGAGTTTGTCGAAAATCACCAGACAATAAAATGAGTGCTCCACCGAAGGGCTGTTCATTTCCCCTCAAATCTTTCAGTGTACGATCAAGCGCTTCCAATGCTTTTTTGTGAGCCATTGTGCATTCGTCCCATATGATAAGTTTACATGTTTGGAGAACTTTGCCCATTCCGGAATTTTTGGTGATATTGCATGTTGGCGTCTCAGTGGTTTGCAAATTCAATGGCAATTTCAGTGCTGAATGCGCTGTTCGACCACCATCCAAAAGTGTTGCCGCAATTCCAGATGATGCAATTGCCAGTGCAATTTTATTCCGTGATCGAACGGTTGCCAAAATTAGTGAAATGAGAAAAGTCTTGCCTGTACCTCCGGGCGCATCTATGAAGTACAATCCGCCCCCTTGATTTTTAATTGCTTGCATTATTGTGTCATATACAATGCGTTGTTCTGAAACCAATTTCGGAAGATTCGTTTCAAGAAATGTACCCAAATCATCGACATTGAAGTGTGTTTCACGTTGCAAATCACGATCATATGCGTCACTTGCAGATCGATTCGGTGCACACATTCCCAACTGCCCCAATCCTTTGTTAACGATTGTCAAACATATATCCTCGATCGAAACCAACGCCTCATTATACACGTGTGGTGTGAATTGCATGTCTGGATTCTGATTCGTTGCTTGCAAACGACGTAGGATGTCTTCACTCATGTAATCTTTGTATTTTTCCCAAAGATCTTTCGGATTGGATGGGAAACACGTCAATATTATCGCAAATAACGTGCGTATTTGCTGTGGTTGAGCAGTATTCGATGCATCAGCGAGTGTTGTGTCCCACTGTGCATCGTTTTCAAGAAGATTTAATTCTTGGCAAGCTTCTCGATAGGTCGCACATACTTCACCATTCACTCTTCTCAGTTCTTGGAAGGATTTCGGTCCACGTACGTTAAGTAACAGTAATCGCAAGTAAAAACATTCTTGATTGTTTGGATGAACCGTATAAAGACGGCCTAACACGTCGGATGAATATAAATTCGGATGTCTTTCAACTGGTTTCCCCTGTTTACGACGTTGAAACTTTTTTGCTGATGCATTCCATGTGTAGTATTTTGGCACTTCTGAGTAAAGTAGCGTTTTTGCGAACAAATCATCTGTGCACAATGAGAAGAACGCAGTTAACATTGTTTTCGGTGGCGATAATGCTCTTGCATGTACGTTTTCCGTTGTAAAATACACGCGCTGCCCATTTTCAAGATGTACTGCCAAATGAACAACTGTTGGATGACGTTCATGAATTGGAAATGAGAAAATACGCCAAACTGCTTCATTGGTACTAATGTAGCGTCCCAATTCATATCGATCGATTTCATTGATTGGTGCAGATGCATTTCCCACTCCAAAAACTGCCATATCGCTTCCTTTGTTGACATATTTGCAAATGTATTTGATCGATTTCACTGAATTACAATACTCGACATTGATGTGTGCTTTGAACGTCTTTGAGAGTAATGGTGAATACGGCACAACCCAATGATTATCGACTTCAATGTCATTGTTGCATACTTTTAAAGTGATGAATTTGCCACCATCTTCAGTTGATCGTCGACGATATTGTGGATATCCATCATTTCCAGTGATAGTTTCGGCGTGTAAGTGTCGTGGATAGCGTTTCGTGCATTTTCCATCCTTCATGCACCGAGAATTGTTGTTGATCGCGCCGCATGGACCATGAATCAGGTTGTTGGTAACAACTTCGAATAAGCCTGGATCAATGTCGACATCTGGTATTTCTGCTGAGATGACTTCATCAATTTTGTCTGGTGTAATTTTGTCGATCAACCAAATCAAAATATGTGCATGTGGTAATCCTTGTTTCTGCCATTCAATGGAATACATCCAACAGCGTGTCTCCCCAAAAACATGATGTTTGACAATGAAATCCATCATAGATTTCAATTTTTGTTTGAACACACGTGCAATGATGTCATGGCGATCCGAAGACTATTTCTTCCCACGTAGGATTGCATGTAAATGTTATGAATAAATCCGGACGGCCGTATGCGCGAACATAAGTCATTGCATCTTGTGCGTATTCATGCATGTGCCGTGGGCTTCTTGTGAATGTAGCAGGCAATATGACCATTTTCCCTAGTTCATTGGGATTGCCATCAGTAGCAATTGCATCGCGTAAATGAATATATTCTTCAGAGCACAGCTTGGTTTGATTCAATCGAATGAAAAGAAGTCGTTCGGTCTCGATTTTTGCATACATATCGACAATGTATTGATGGAATAATTTCCGACATTTCAAAATGTGGTTGTCTGTGTTCTCACGAATCATCAATCGATATGAATAGTAATTCATGGCACTGACCTTCTTATTGGTGTCCTCATCTGTTTGTGGATTTCTCATTTTGATGTTAAAATGATATCCATCTTCTCCTTGCCAGAATAAAATTGGATATTGCAATGCATCGTATGAGCGATGAGTTTCGGAGACTCGCTGAACATTACCATCTCTGCGATGAAGAACTATATCACGCGAGTTAAATTCTTCGCCAACTATGACGATCGCCACTTCATTAATTGTTGGTGCATTGTATTGTCTTTCATGTTGGCCAGCTGGTGTTTTGTCAGCTCTAATGACAAGTACATAATCATCAGCTGGCATTCGCTCAAGGGCCGTCTTGAACAGTCGAACTAATTCGTTATGTTGATCGAATAAATTTTGTAATGAAGCAACAATTTCTCGATTAGTGCCGGTATTGAATCGACAATGTTGATCAACTTGTTCATCACTGGATCCCATGAAATAAATTTGGAGAAATTTGTGATCTGCATCTGGCAGTGGTAGAAGTGATCCAGTACGATGATAAATTTGCCCTTGCACTTTGAACGTTGGCATATAATTGTCACGTATGATTTCTGTTGCACCAAACGATGTCATTTGAAAACATGAATTGTATTTGCGTATGTTTGCCAAGAAATGTTTCGACTGGCTTGTGTCACCTGATACCAACGTTGATAATGGTTCAGGTGGTAAATGCAATTCTGGCAATTTCACTTTTCCACCTGCGCAGCACATTCCTGGTGTTTCATTCTTGAATTTCAATGCACGGCAAAATTTGCATAAATTGTCCATCTTTTCAATAACGACACTTCGATGGAGACTGTAATCATAATCAGCATCGTAATGGAACGCAGCAAGATTCAAATCAGCGTGCAGTGTCCGCCTGGATCGAACATTGCGTTCTCGATTGGTTCCCAGTCTTACTCCCTGTTGGTCAATTGTTTCATTCGAGCGGGCTTGAGCAGCGCGTACTCGATCGGCTTCCAATCTTGATTCTCGTTGCTCGTTCGTTTGAAAAGAACGGGCTTCAGCAGTGCGTACTCGATAGGCTTCTAATCTTGCTTCCCGTTCCTCGTCTGTTTCTGAAGCTCGTAATGCCTTTTTCTTTCGTGCTTGAGATGTAGATCGACCAATCGATTGACGTTTGGGGGGCATAACTGTCGACGATGCTCGCAAATTCGCTGAGAAAAATGGTATTTGAAAGATTATGAAAATTGAAATTGATTCAACTCACTATTCGTCTTCTCTTGAGCTACTCTCGCTCTGGTGCTCGTCTGGTCTGATGCTCGTCCGTTCTCTTTCTCTCTCTCGCTCTCTGTGACTTTCTCTCTTTTCTCCACTTCTTTTTCTGCTCCTTTCTCTGGTTGAAGCTCTCTTTTTAAACCCTTCTGGCATGAGAAAATTCGTCATTGGGTGATGATTTATTTGCAGTGTGGTCATCGGGTGATGATTTATTGGCAGTGCGTCATCGTAGCTGACATGGTGTTTTATTATTTGGTAATGACATTCGAACCTTCACAGAATCATCATCGCGTTGACGTGACTCATCTTTGCTTTGGGATAGTTCTCAATCATTATTCATTGATTGCTTTGACTAAGTTCTTCGTTTAATATGTAAACATTGTAGAGGTCCGAGCCTCATTGCGACACTCAACACCAAAAACAAAAGGGGGAGAACTGTGATATTCCTCATTTATATATATATATATTTTAATCCTTTACAATTTTAATTATTTAATTGCTCCTTCCTTTCTTCCTTGGCATGTCGTGAAATTTCTGATAGTTGGATAATAAACCGTTTTATTGTAATTTGTCTTTTTAAATTATTTTGAGTCTATATTAAAATTTGGAAAAGGGGGATTCCTAGATCGGAAAAATAGGCAAATTTCCTCCTACGATTTCGGTTGTTGTTCGGGATACAGTTAAGGTTTTAACAAAGCTCGAGCAAATACATAATTAGCAAAAAAAGTTAAAATAAAGTGATTAAACAAAAATTATTACAAATATCGTAAATAACAGTTCACAAATGCATATATAAAGATATTTTTTGAAATAGGGGGAAATGGTCTTCACAATTTGAAATCGATCGAACACACTGTCTCGATGCACTCGTATAAACGCGTGCCATCTATCGTGGGTTAAATGTACTATGCCAGAAACCTTCGCGGGAGTGTATTAAAAAACTTTCCTAAGTTTTATAGCAATCGTACTATGCCAAAAACCTGCGCGAGAGTATATTAAACAACTTCCCAAAGTTTCATGGCAATCGGATAAACAATGTGGTAATGCATAATAGACATAAGACAGACACACAGACATACATTCATTTTTATATATATAGATTGGTTGGAATGACATAGAACTGCAATGTCCATACCCTAAACAATGCTTCATTGGCTTTGGTCTATTATTCCTCAGCTGAATATTGAGCTCCAGTTTGGTATCATAGTAATCATATACATCTGGTGGACACAATGTTAAATAATACTATGATAACAATTACTGTAACTATAAGATCCACACCTTTATCTTGGCTTCCAAAACTTGCAAATAGCCCACCAGATATCATGAGAAAATGTAGATTCAAAATCATATTGCTAAATATTCTCATTAACCATACATTGTAAGGAACCAAGTCCGAACGTTATTTTTATTTACTTTTATTTTGCTTATTCTATTTTTGTTTGGGGCTTATGTTTTGTTAGGACGAAGTTTCCTCACCATTCACCTTAGTAACTTAAAAATAGAAGAAAAACCAACTCACCAACGAAAGAAAAGCGCCGTAGAAAACTCGCGCACACTTGCGCTTCCCAAGCGGAAAAAAGTAAGTCCGCACCGAGAAAAAGGGGGGGAAGACCCCACAACCCAGTTAGGAATCGCTAAACCTTAAAAGAATAAAGCATCCCGATAATTGTTAAAAAGAATAATGTAAAAGGTTAGCGAAGTATTGTCGGAAAATAATCTGCCAGATAAACAAGAAAAATTTAATGTTACAGATAAGTATGTAAATGAGGAGAGTGAGCTCATTCAGAATTGTGACGTCACCTCACACTATAAAGCCTCTAACTCAAGTGAAAACGAACGAGGTGAATTCCTGATAGCAACGAGCTTTGGTGAGCTTCGTAGCAGTGAACGAGAGAGGTGTCCGATAGGATTTTGAAGTTATTCGATTTGTGGATCGACGATTATAGAAAGTCTTGAGAGTTTGAGGAAATAGGTTCCTAGTATATTGAGGTGACGATTAGGATCTTTAATTTATAAGAATTATTGTTTATAAGTTAATTCTTTGATTTTGTCGAATTCCAAAGGGGAATAGAATTAAGTTAGAAATAGATTGATTTGAGTTTGTCGGATTGATTCTTGTTGAGTTTCATTGAATAAATTATTGTTTGATTTTTACTAAATACTGTATAGAATTTATTAATAGAAGTTTAATTAAATATTTGATTTTGTTATTGACAAACTTTGTCATTATTTAACTCGGTGCACGCTTAAAGTCCAGGCCTGGCACACTAACGCGAATCCGCGTAAAGTACCCGTTAGGGAACGGCTATTTCCGGCACACAGTAGTGTCGATAATCGTTGGAAAGTCGGAAAAATAATATAGTACTTTACAACATTACCCATATATAATGACTTATGAAATCATTCCCTGGACTAACTGAAATCCAGAAACATTTTTGGAACAGATTAAATAAATTAGCCCACAATGACATCTCCCTACAGGAGGAGTGGAGATGAAAATGGGCCTCATACTACAAATAAACATTTGGTAGCAGATACCACTATCAAACATCCTGGTTTAGAACTAACAAGAAAATATTGGACACAAATTAATAGATTCTGGACGACTCAAAGGAGACGTGCATTCCTCTTACGTAAATGGTCAATATTGCCATCACCACTCTGCCATCTGGAGCTATGCAGACTATTGCTCATATTGCCAAGGAGCGTTCTATATATTTTGTGACAGGCTGCCTGAAACTCATTAACAAGGCAATCACCGAGGTGATCCAATAGTCAAACTTGATTAATATCAAACTTTAGGGACCTTCACCACACATCATTCTAACAGTGAAATGGGCCGAGGGATGTAGGTACACGAAGTTATTCGAGCCAGAGTTGTCTTTGTATCTTTGGGGGTTGTAATGTCACACACTTAATAATAATAATAATAATAATGGTTTTACAAAGATTAACATAAGAGAAATGATAAAGTTTATCTTGCATTGCATAAACTATCTAATGAACAGTTTTAATTACAAAAAAACAACATTTTAATAAAAACATGGTGTTTTGTTTATTTTAATGCTAATTATATCATGTTGTTTGTTAAAATGGGTAAATTTAATTTCCAAGAAATTTATATTTATTGAGAAAAGCTTAAAATAATTCATAAACTTATTTAAATCAATAGCAAATTTGGCCTTTCAATATTTATCAATCCTGAAAGTTGTACAATGATCAATAAGCAGTATGCATTTCTCCACTTTGTACTATATATTTATTTATATATTTACGAAATTCTTTGTTATATTAAACCCAGAATACTGATAACACTTCCAATTTTTTCATAATAATTTCTTACACAGATTTAATTCCCATCTTTAATTATTAATGAGATCAAATATGATAAAATACATTTGAAAGTTGAACAGATGTATTCACCAGGGTTTGTAACAGGTCTAACAATGAATATATTTTTCTTCCATTCCTTTCCTAATAAATTCATTTCATAAACTCAAAACATGAAAATTCTCTTGCAAAGTTAATAAAAAAATAAATATAAAGGACTTAATTATAAATTAATTAGTACAAGCAATTTTGAATGTAATTAATTTAAAAATGTGAAAAAGAAATGAGAATTGAATATTCAGAATATAATGGAAAGTGATTTGAAAGAAAACTTAAAACATTTTTGTTGTATGCAATTTAGGCTTACATAATACATTTCAAATTATAGAAAATACGTTATGTTTGTATATGTTTATCTACTTTAACACAAGAATATATCTCATTGTTACTATAAAAGAAATAGAGCAAATAGATCTTACCATTTTCTAATGAAAAAAAAAAATAGTATTACACGTTCATTCTTCTATAAAACACTATGCTATAACCACATTTGTTCTACTAAATGCTTAGTTCTAATAACGAACGACAGGGGGAGCGATTCGTGAAAATTTATCCAGGAGATGTTAATTTTATCGTCTGCCGTCCATTACAAATTTTCGTATTTTTCTACGTTTTAACTTATCCGCAGAAAAAACAGTGAGTAAAATTGGATTAAATGTGTTATGGAATGTATTAATAGTAATGTTAAAGCTGAATAAATAACATTTAAATTTGTTTAATACTAGCATGAAGTTAATTAAGCCTGAGTTCTGCTCTATATATTCTATGGAGTTAAATGCAAATAATTTTTGAAAAAAATATTATTTTACACTAAAAATCTACACTAAAATGACTCTCAATGACGACGAATCTTCATAACTTTGCTAATGTTCGGAAAATTATGAAAATTTATACTTTAAATTATTTTTGTATATTCATTTACATTGTATTTGAATGCAGAATTGTTAGTATACTACCTGTAAATTATATGACACGTTGACAGCTCGAGAGAAATATAGGCCTTTGAAGAGGATTTCAACTAATAATAATAAACCAAGAAATTTTATTAATGCATTTTATATGTATGCAAGTTATATAATATTGTAACTGTATAAGACCTACATTAAGCTTCTGTATTATTATTAAATAATACAGTAGTAAGAATTAATGGTAGACTTAAAGGCTAAATTTAATGTGTTATCTATTTTCAGATCTTGTACTAGATGGTGTTTTATATCTGATTCTGGCTGTACTTTGAATAATTCCGTAAACTGTTTTTTTTTATTTTCTACATTCTATTCCTGCTTTAAATACTTTAATTGGAAAAGCATTAATTTAAATACGTAAATATTGAATGAAAGTATTTAAATCATATTATTCAAACTTAACTTTTTAAAAATCAGTTGATGTGTTTTGATGAATACAGTTGTTTTAAAGTATTTGTAATTTTTTATTATAATAATATATAATGCAGATTTTTGTTGCCTTTTAAAGTGAATTTTATAGCTGTTACCCGCAACTTTGCATGTGCGGATTTTGCAAGCAAACTCCATTGATATTCAGTATTTCAACAACCATAGTAATTGTTATATAACAAGGGTGGGCAACCTTTTTTATAACATGGGCCAGAATAAATTTTACGTTTTTTCCGCGGGCCATAGTAGTTAATTGACACCTTGTGACCTGTAAATTTTTAGTCTGCAAATATGAAATAAATAAATAAATAAATAAAAAGAAATTAATTACTACAGTCGACCCCCCTATAACACTGTTGATTATTCCGTTTTATATGAATTCCATGTTGTATGAGTCACTTAGATTTTACAAATGCGTGTGCCGGGCTGTGAACGGCTCACCTATTTGTAAAATTTAAGTGACTTTAAACACAATAAAAACATCACTATGTAGTTGGATACGACAGACATTACATTTTCTAATTGCATAGCTTTTGCACATAGATTTTGTTGACGCGATTATATATAAATAATTTAGAAAAATTCTGTTTTCCCATTTTTTGTTTGAATAAGGAAATGACTCCCTTAATTTTTCCTGTCATTGCTGCCGCAACACTTCAGAAAATAATATTCAATTTAAACTAGACGAATTACATCGAAAAAATATTTATTTATAATTTCTTCTAAACATCTCGCGGGCCGGATAGAAACTCTTCGCGGGCCGTAGCTGGCCCGCGGGCCGGGGGTTGCCCACCGTTGTTATATAACATCTACCGCTGAGAATGATGAGAATCAAACAAACTATTTTCAATTTGATCAATTTTCTGGAATGTCTACAATCGTTCTATAATCGAACCAATATGCAATAACAAATTTGAATTTAAAATGGTTTAAATATTTGGTTAAAAATCGAAATATATAAAAATATTTATAACAATGTCTGAAATGTTATCAATTTAATACACCTAATTTAATATTTATAACAATGTCTGAAATGTTATCAATTTAATACACCTATGACACCTAAGTACTCAATGAAGACTAAATGTAGTTCTAAACAAAAAATTGCATCTAAAATAGTACAATAGAAGCCATTCTTCAAGTTAAGCCTTAATCCTCTCCCTTTAATTTTTCGAAATTCTCCCGCAGGGAAACTTCAAAAAATTTTTGTGTTCATTTTCTTGACATACCCTAACTGTGTACAAAATTTCACCTCTAGGTTCAGTGGTTTGCTACGGGCAATGATGAATGTTAGTCAATCACTCAGTCAGTCAGGACAAGTAATTTTATATATTTAGATTATTTTTTACTTTATGATTAACAGTGAATTTTCTTGGTAAATATTATTTATTTAATTATTAGAATCAAGTATAATGATATTAAAGCTAGACTGAATTTCTTTTAATTGTTAAAAATTGATTTATTTTTGTAGATTATCTAATTTTTTGTTATTTAATCTTAAATATTTAACACTCTTGGTGACACACTATCTATGATATGAAATTACTAAAAATGATTGAAAACATTTGTTTTTACATTAACTGCTAGTAAAAAAATTGCTTTGTTCTTATATCATTCATACAGTACATATTAGTTTTCATTTTCTTTTGATCTTTAATAAGAATTATTTATGCACAATTCCTTTTTTTTAATTGAAAAAAATTTTCAGCATTATCTACCCCTTTCAACCTGTCTTGATGATATTTTTATTTCTGTGATCTTGTGTAATCTTGGAGATTTCTATATAGTTAAATGTTACTTTGTGGGTTAATAGGAAATACTATGTACACTATGTTCATCCTCACTGCTTCTTTTTTCTATCAGCAGCTATAATTAAAATTTTTGCTTATCTGGTATTTATTCTGCTAAGTCTTCATTGAGCATCTGTGGAACAAAGACTTAAAAATATCATGTGTTCTGACATTTTTTTGTTCAGGATTGCATAGTATCTTCCATTGAAAATCATTGTCTATGTTTATATAAACTCAGTACAATATTGAGATATATTTCTTCATAACTAGCTATATGTGTATTATCTGTTCATGAATTATTAAAAATTATATAATTATCTGTCATCAGTTGTCATGTAAGATTTCTTTCATCTTCCAAACTAGAGTACAGTACATGTTACTCTTCTTCAATGTTTTTTTGTTTTCTAGTTCACATGTTATTACTGACAACTTCAATTGTCTTGTCATCGTCAAGAGAATCCTTTGAAGTAGCATTGACAATTACACAACAATGCAACAAAGTGTTCATCATTATACATTTACTTGAACAATTACTGTATAAAGTTTTTGTTACATATTTGCCTAGTTTCTAACAAAATTTGATGTGGCTTGTTTTAACATGGATACATGGTAGAGTCAAAAATAAACCAAACTTTTAATAAAGCTTTTATTATGTTAATAGCACAAGTATTTACAGAGAACTACCTTTAAAATAAAACTTCTGAAGCCGGACAATACTGTTAGTATCATTTGTCATAACATTATCATTTGTCAAATCACTACTGTAAGCCATTTTTTGTGATGTTTATAAGAACTCTAGTTCCTGTAACTTTCATCTTGGCTTCTATTAGTCATTCCTGATCAGAGAATATCTGACCAAAAAAGGGTATAATGCTTTTCCAATCTACTTGCTCCCTTAATTTTGCTTTATGAACTTCCCTAAATTGAAAGAAAAGTTGAAGGATTGCAGTTTCCAATAAGCAGCAGAGTAGGTGCAATTAATGAAGGATATAGATGCAGAAGGGCTTAAGATAGTATGGTATAATAATTTCTATCTTGTATAATGAAACCTGTCAAAAGTTTGATTTATTTTTGATTATGCTACAAATTTTTGCTTTTTTTGACACAAAGTATACATTTTCTTTTAAATTTCAATGAACAATAAAGTGGAAACATTAGCATCTGACATTTATCATTGAAAATAAAGCTGATTTACTATCAAACATTAGGTTTATATGCATATTCTGAAGCCCTCGTAGCACATCACAGAATAGTTAGTAATGGTATTTTTGAACGATCTTAATACGACGTATATCAGCAAAGTATATTCTGTAATCATTGTCTTATACAGTGGGTGATCGGTTAACGAACATAATCCGCTCCAAGACTTTGTTCGCTATCCGAATTGTTCGTTAACCGATTATCGATTTACCATTGGTTTCTATGAGAATTTGATTAATTCATTCTGGAGACCCCAAAAAAAATAATATATACTTTCTTACTATGTTTATTCATATGTAATAATAAAAATACATATATACACAGTCTTGCATTTTTATTAGTCATGTTTTTTCTGTTTTTGGGGTTAAAGAATCTGTCTAATGTCGATTGCTTTTCTCTCTTCATGATTTTTCAGAAGTAATTAATAGCATTGTAATTGTAGAGATCCCTGGGCCTATTAACCTCAACCTGGTTTGGATGACATTTTAAGACCGTTGTTCTGACATCACTTTTTCAAAAGATCTTTAATAGCAGATATCGGCATAAATCTGCATTTTTAGAAGAAAACGTAAAAGAATTGTTTCTGTCAGAAATATAAAAGGCTGGAATTACAAGGGAGAGTTTCAAAGTTTGGGGGAATACTATCCGATCAGTATATACTGGGTAGAACGTCAATGTAGATGTCTCCCGCGCTCCAAAAAGTTTCGAATTGTTGCCTGAAGACAAAGGAAGACCAATTGATATTCGTTATTTTACGTTGCTGCTTCTTGTTTGTTCAGTGAAGTGTTTGTTGTCCGATCGTAAAAATCTTTCGTGAAAGTCTTCGTTATCCGATTTGTTCGTTAACCAATCACCCACTGTATTTTAAATAAGATTAAATTGTTTATGAATTTTTTTTATATATTGAAAAAATAATTCGCACATCATTTTTCATATAAAATCAATAATTCACATAAATTTTGATAATATACTCTGTTATTTATGAACATTTTATATTTTTTTAAAATTAAAACTTTTAAATATGAATATGATGATGAACTAATGCCATACTAACATATTTATTTTTTTACTAACAAAGCATGAGGCTGGTTGAAAACTTGCATTACAAATATCTGCCTATAGTGGCAAATGGTAAGTGCTATGAATAATTTTTACATAGAAAAACAAACATGATTTAATTTTAAAACGAATTTAATAAAATCAATCATTTTTAATCAGGTAAAGATGGCAGATGGTGCAAAGAAGCCTATCAAGATAATTGGAAATGACAGTTTAGCTACCAGAGTAGCTGCATTTCAAAAGAAAGCTGAGGAACATAAAGCAAAGCAAAAGATAAATCCATTTTCTGAATGGGCTGATACTACCGAGCGCCCTGTTTGGGACAAAAATGATCCTCGTTATGGCCGTCCAATTGAAGGCTCAAAAACAGAAAAGCGTGGAATTCAAGCTGGTCAATTGATTAGCGGTGAAGTTCAACTACTCTGTGATTTAATATACCAATATGGACATCCTCTTCCAGACGGAAAAACAGTCATAAGTTTTGGAGAATTATTTGAGGTTAGAATTTTATTTAAATACAGTATATCCCACAAATCATGATACATAGGAAAATTAATCATCTGTAGTTTTGAACACTAGAAAATTTCGTATCTGGGTATCCAAGATAATTTGGGTAATGAACTATTTCTCAAGTGTGGTCCATGGATTCCTCCGAGTACAGTGAATTCTCATATAATGCGCTCTCCTGTAACGTTACAAAAAAAATTGCGACTGGTACTCATACAAAATTCTGTGTCCAGAGGTATATGTTTCTTCAACTTCTAGGCCTAGGTTTAAACTTTGATAATGTATGTCTCAATAACATGATCTGTAATGCGGAACGTATCCCCTGCGTTGTACAGTATGTGACTTTGCTGTATATAAAATCATTTAAATTAAAATTTTTAAAATGAAATTATTTTTAAAAACATTTTAAAAAGATATATAAATAATAATAAAATTTTCACTCAACGGAGTTCGCTGGAATGTGCAGTTTCAGAAACAATGGAGTAATGCCTGTCCTTAGCATTTTGTATCCAAATGCATGTAGATTTCTGACTCTTCAAAAAATTTGTATTAATTTACCTTTTCTTTTACAGTTTAAACAAAGATAGATTGTTGACAATAAGAATATTAAAGCAAATTATCCATTATGGTATATAAAAAACAAAGTACTGAAATATTGACTTTATATGTTGGCTTGAATAACTAGGAGTTGGAGTCACATTAAGGAAAAGTGCCCTTAAAGGAGAATTCGCACAGCGTAGGAATACATTAAAATTTTAGATTTGTCCTGAAAAGCATAATCATTTTAAACTATTTTTCGATTTATATTAAATATAAAGAACTAATTTATTCAATATAAGATTCTGATCTTTATTATCAATTAATTTGCTATAAATAACTATGAACCTTATTGGCTTTTCTGTTATAATTACATTTTCATCACACACCTTTTCGATTTTTTATTCAATCAACGCAAATATCAAATTAATTTATTGATATAAATAAGTAAAATTTATATCGAAAACTTAATATAGCCTACTGTATAAAAAAAATTTTGTAAAAAGCCAACTGAAATGTTACTTGTATATTATTTATATTTTTACTGTATAAGTGCTATTTACTGATTTTTTTTTTCATTTCTAGAGTTAAAGAGTAACTTCATATGCGGATTTTTAAACCTCATAAACCCAGTGAATTAATTTTTAGTGTAATAGCGCTTTGCTTTTCTTACACGCGTAAAAAATTAATTTAAAAAAATTATTGCTCTTCTTCATTATTTTAAAATCACTCAAAATTAGAGCGAATAAGTTGTGTTCGCACTATGTATTTTATTCTTTTATTTTTATGTTCCTACAATGCTTATTTTTCTGAAAATTGCATGTTAACTTAGAACATTTTTTCAAAATAAAAATCTTAAAGTCCTTAAAATTAATATTACTGTAGTAGTTTATGCAAAGAATTTTAAAATGAAACTCGAAAGTGTTGAAAAATGCTCTGAAGATAATCGGTCTGAGCTCCTAGTATTGATATAATATAAATCAGTTATATGTTTAAATTTTAAAACATTTTGCGATTTTAGAAACGCTGCGTTAGGTACACAATATTATGAATTTGCAGAAGCAATCTAATATTCTTAATAATCTAACGTCCATTAAAAAAAAATGCTCGCCAATGACCGAATGGATAAAACCACTCAACATTGCTGGTTGATCGAGGGTTTGTGCCTCGCCAGCGGGCTGGCCACGTGGAATTTTTCTGGTTTTCTTCATGTTAGTAACACATAAATGGGGGCCAGTTTCCCGTAACACCTCATGGGAGGCATTTTCAACTCGGCAGATTGCCCATGTGTTGCATTGCCATATATGAATAAAACTAATGGAGAGTGGGTGTTAATGAACTAGTCTAAGAATGAAAAGAAAGTGCACAAAAATATAAATAATTATAATTTAAATGGTACCATTAATCATCATCCAATTCTCATTTAAAAAATTTTTGATTGCATAAGAAAAATATTCATTTCCGATTAAATTTTCTTTCAGTTTATTAGTATTTTATGAAGTTCAGGGAATTATTTAAGAGACAACTTCACTAAATTAATACTTTTATAAAGGATTACAGAATTTTATTAATGAATAATAAATAACCGATTTTTCTCCTTTTTGAAGCCATATAGTTTTACTGTTGTGGATTAATTAATAACAACGGGATAAATAAATTTAATAATTCAGCGATTCTGAAAGGATATTTTTTCTGATTAACAAGTTTAATTAAGTTTTTATTATAGATTAGAGTTACAATTTGAATTGGGATTTTTTTTAAGTAATAAAATTAATTTCAAAAATGAAAACATTTTTTCTTAGAAAGAACGTCAAATTAAAAATAGCTACATATATAGATTTGTAAGCATTAGAATAGTCTGGTAGACATGAATCGGTCCAGAGCGGGAATCAAACTCAACCTTAGCTAACCGTGCGGTGCTCTGACCAGTTACGCTTCAGACATATTTAAACTTTAGATATGACCATCCCACTATTCTAAATTATATTAAAATTATAGTTTCTGCCTTCGATAAGAGATGGTGCCTAATGTCTACTTTTAATTTCTAATCACTTAATTTCTAAATCTTAATTGTAGTATAATGTTTCCCGATTAATTTGGTTATTGATTGGAAGATTAATAATACATCGGGCTATTGCAACGTTTATATATTAATATATTTACATAAGTAAATTGAGATTTTTACAGTTATGGGTTAACCGAATTAAATAGTCTTATTCTCGTTCACGGGATTGCAAATCTAATTCTCATTATCGCAGAATTCATTTGAACCGATAATGTAATAACGGTGTTTGACTGTAATATAATGTCAATGAGTAATATTTTCTGTATTTTATAGAAAATAGCTACTGAGATTAAAATGAAAATAATTTGTTATATTTTAAATCATAAACTCTCTGAAAGAAGTAATGTGTTTTTAAATGTAATTATATTTATTAATAATTATATCAATTTTTCTTTGTTTTTATTAATAGATGTACACTAGAATTTCAAATAAAGTAGTAGGTATATTGATGAGAGCAAGGAAACATGGTCTTCTTACTTTTGAAGGAGAGATGTTATTTCAGAGAAGAGATGATCATGTAGTTATAACATTGATCAAGACCATTGAAGAATTACATGAAATATTTGGAATTCAAGGTCCTGTTCCCACAAGAAAACGTTGCGAAGAAGTTGAAGAGGAAGATGATGATACAGAAAAACGTTACGAAGACGAAGAGGAAGATGTTGCATTTTTGGATGTTACAAAATTTAATTCTCGTAAATAGATTATAACACTATACAGTATTCTTGTCAAATTAATGACATAATACAGTTGTTAAAAGGTTTGTTAAAAATTTTATTGAAGAAAGAGAAAGCTTTAATTTTTTTTATTTATGTGAGCAATAGAGTTATATTTTTGCTTATATTAATATTGTATATTGAAAATTTGGCAATATATTTTTAAAATAAATATCGAACTATGTTTTAGCTGATTTACTCAATTTGTTTATATCCAGTAATTTTTAATTTCAATTTTAATGACAGATTTGTTTACAAATTTCTCAGATATAATGATTTTACATAACCAAATTTAAAAACTTAGATTATCATTTCTGAAGAGAAACAAATCATTACGAAAATATTGGAATGTTACGTCTTTCCCCAGCTTTACATTCGGGAACGTTCTCTGGCCAATCACAATTTAATTTATCTTGATTCCAATAAGTTCCCCCTTGACAACTCAGTATATATGCTTCTCCGTGGTTGCAACGATAATATTTAGAACAGTCTTCCTCATGACGAAAATATGTATTTGATTCATTTTCACAGTTTACTGTACCGGGTGATGCTGTAGATGGTTGAGCAAAAGTTGATTGTGTGAATGGTGTTGAATTACTTGGTTCTGTTGATTCTGTTTTTAATTTGCTGTCAGTAGCAATAGAAACTTCCTTAGTAGTTTTAAAGACTTCCTGTGATGCTCCTGATGTTACAGTTGTTGAAGGAGGAGTGGTTGTAGTAGTTGAAGGTGTTGGCACTTGATATCCTCTGAGGCGTTCATTCATAACTTTGAGAAGCGCATTTTTTTCACCACATACAGCTTGAAAATCATCCATGTCTATAGCCCAAATCATACCACCACCATATTTATGTTCTTTGATGAAATCCATCTAAATAAAAAAAAATTCATTAAAATAATATAAATTCAAATAAAATTGAAAATAGGCTAATTAGATATTCGAAATTAATCCATTATTTTTATATAATACTAATTTCAATTTTTCAATATTAATTCTTATGACTGAATTCAAAAGAAAATTTTTAATAAACGTTTAAAATATCTGGAATTTTATATTATTATCTTAGCATCTTAAAGAAAATTATTAAAGAAATTCTTATAAAACTGTGATTTGGCAGAATTCTAAAAGAAAAAAAATAATTCATTTGTCTCTTATATGGCGTTTCACGTTTAAATTCATTTCTGACAATGTTTACAATAATTATCATTTGTAAAATATCTCAAAAAGCTGCGAATATGCAAAATTGTACGATAAATTCATGTTTCAGAGGAATAAAAATAGACCATTTTAAAATTACAGAGGATTGTAATGGAAGATATAGGTGAATATCAAACTACACGGTGAAAAAATAAATGAATAAATATGATGTTGGAGAATAAATACGTCAAATTGCATCAGGCAAAATGTCATGACACAAATGTCTTCTGGATAGTTTCGAATATCAACTGCTAAACTTACTTTTTGAAAAAAATTATTTTGGCTCAAGGCATTTGTAATTTATTGAGGTTGTGATATCAAACTTTTAAATTAAAAAATTTAAACAGAAGAAACTGTCTCTGTAACAATAAGGAAAACTAAACCTATTGTATTCAATAAAATTATAAAATGATAACTAATGTATATCGAATCAGAACTTAAAGGTAATGAAATGAATGTCCGTGATATGTGATTTAGAAAGAAAGAATCAACAGACAAGCAGAGGGGCATTGGAAATATTAAAGACGAAATCTGGTAAGGAATTGGCTTGGTGAGTTGTCTAGTTAAGCAACTTTAATTAATACAGCTGGATAAGCAAACCGATGTCTTAGTTCATTTCAAATGAAAAAGGCTTTGTCATTGGTTTTCTTATCTAGATATGTTAAAGCTGCTCTACTAGGCAACGGGTCCATTATCTGAGAATCGCCAGGATAATTTTTAAAAGTACTTTCTCGAGAGAAAATGGTGGAAAGAAAAGTGAGAACAATATTTTTTTCTTTGTTATCTCGTGAAGTATTTTTAATGTATATATATATATATATTAAATAAATTTCTAATTAAGTTCAAAAACGCAATTATATTCGCCGAGTGCGCCGGTGCTAGATTTTGGGACACAGCGAAAAATGTAAAATTTATATTTCTTAGAAAAAAATTCACTGTAAATATAAAACAATTGTTTTAAATATAAAGTAACACTTTATTCTAGACGCTAATTCATATATTACGTTCTAGTGGCGTGCGGTAACATTAGACGATAGGGAAGCTGTGCCGGCCCTGGATGGAATTATTGGAAACTACCTGAGGTTGATGCTCTGTAAAGCGAATGCGTGTAATCTGGCTTTACACGATTGAGATATTTTCGCCGTGGAAGCTATCCCGTATTCGACAATACGGCGCTTCCATTGAAAATATGCATATACGAATTTATATTCGAACATATAATAGCAATCTTATATTGTTTTCACATGTAGTATAGAAATTTGTAATAAGGTACATAATGCGGTTATGATAAAATATTAATTTTAATTAATTCAAAGTACGTTAAAATATGAAAATAATCGCATAATATTTACTGTATTTATATTTTAGAAAATTATAAGGAAAGCGGCGCTTCCATAGCTTCCATGGATGGCACGCTACTGTTACGATTTTAAAATTACACGGTTTTTATTCATTTGGCTAATTTATTTAGGAATATCCTATAAAAGCTGATCATCCTTTTCCAATCAGCTTTTTACATTTATTCTAATTAAAGGATATTCGTTTAATTTATTTAAATATCGTTATTCGAATTTTTCGACTTCGAATAACGCATGCATAAATATCTTTATGGTAAGTATGCTTACTATATGGCACGCAGACTTAAAAAGGTTCGTCACCCCTGGACTCGACGGTTCCTCAACAGTTTTATATATAAGTGACAGAATATTTGTCTCTCTCTGTTTTTAGTTGTTTTTTTTTTTATATTAATTTACTCGAAATTTTTCTTGCTTATTCTCTAGAATTCTGAATAAAATATAGGCTAGACTTCCACGAAACCTGGACACCCTCTTGTTTCATTCCCTCTTGTTAACTCGTGAAACATGTTCAAGTGTTTAGTCAAATTTACTTTCCAAAACTAAATACGACTTTTCGCAGAACACTTTAGAGTTCACTGTTCCCGTGAACAGTCATATTCATAAAAGTACAAAATGAAGATTACGTTAGTAGTTTCAACTAGAACTGTTCGTAGTAGTTGCGAGTTCGGAACGGTTCCTCCCGGAATTATCTATTAAGAAAAACAATTAACAAGCACATGGATGGAATCAAAATGCGATACATCTATCGCATTTTGAAATTTGATATATCTTGTTGATATAGTACAATATTAAAATAATACAAATAAAACACTAAAAACAATCTAATTTTATTTTATGTATGTATAAGCGCAACAAACGACTGTGTTAAAATATAAAACTAGATTTTTGTTGAAATTTTGGTAAATTTTACATTGGATTTTTATTCACGTAGGGTAATTATAACCTTACGTTACGAGTATTGTTCGCAGAGTTGAGGCAACTGGTCAAAGGTTAATTAAATAACATTGATAGTTGGTCGCGAGTTCGTGTCTCGCCAACGTAGAGTTTTCCTGGTTTTCTTCACCTAAATAGGGACCAGTTTTCGTAAAAAGTTTTCCGGTAGGCACCCCCTCGGCAGATCGCCCCTGTGTCGCGTTGCGGGTATACGAATAAACTAAGCATGTGTCATATCTTGGGTGGGGTGAGGACTTAATGAAAATTTTAATCGTTATTGACATTTACAATCTTTTTCAAATCTTATCTCTGCCTTCAAAGTTAAATATTTTACCTTTTTTTTTATTATAATTAACAACAGAAAAGGTATTTTTTAAATAAAATCTCATAACAGATGGCGCCACAACTGCCAATGTGTTTCGTAAACAAATATTTTTCGCCGGAAAGTTAAGCAACTCGTTGCTGGATTATTTTAAGTTTGTGTTTTATTAAAAAAATAAATAAATATTTTGGTTAGGAGAAACACATAAATTCACGATGAAATAATGTAACCAATATTTTTATTTATCACATAAATGTGTAAACTAAATTATCAAAATGTGGAAGTTTTAAAGTTTATTACTTCAACATTATTATGTAGTTTATTATAATTTACTNAATGCTATAGAATACTGTGTAATACGAAAGAAGATATTGACGACTTTATTGTAAGTTCTTATTTCTTTTTTTTTCATAAAATGAACATAATTATTCAAATTTTAATGTGTGAATTGAATTGATGTGATTTAATTTTAATTTTGTGGATTAGTGAATGATTAATTGTTAGTTTTTATCAGTGGCGTAAATAAGATTTTGCTATGGGGATCATCTCGGAGGATGATCTAAAAAGTACAGTCAAAATGAAGTGTCTCTCACTCCTCGTTGCCCACAAATGACCGTCCCTAATATACCTGCCAAACGTTTAATGTTTCCAATGCATCTACAGGTAAACTTCGAGAACAAATTCGATATCCGAATTACGATTTTTCTTCTAGAATAACCCACAGTCACATTGTATAAGTAAGCGATTGATAGTCGAGCATTTATTATTATTATTATTATTATTATTATTATTATTTTATTCCTAAAGCCTCTCGGGAGAATCAAACACCCACGTCACTCCATAAGTACACCACAGGTTGTTAAACAAAAAAAAAAAAAAAAAAAAAAAGAAGAAGAAGAAAAAGAAGGAAGGAAGTTAAACTATCGAGAGGTGTTAGAAATTGCAACATATATAAAGAATAACAGTCAATCATCTTTTGTATTCGATTTCTATATTTTTATTTATCTGTACGAATTCTTAATTTTATAAATTCTAACTTTAATTGAAGAGGAACGAAAAGATAATTTATTTTCGTTCGAAATGCGTATGTCAAATTAAAATATAGTTCACGGAACTTGGGCTTTACCATGATGTATGCGTAACATGGTTTATAACATGTTTAGTTTTATGTAATATTTTACTCTTTAATTTTAGAAATTATGTAACTGTGTTATAATTTTTAATTGCCAATTGTGAAGAATTGTGCTGTTATTACTTATATATTTGTTTTTTAAAAATCCAGCAACGAGTTATATAACATTCCCGGCGAAAAATATTATGTTTAAGAAACACTAAGAGACACATTAGTACAAAGTAAAAATTGTGTATATTTCCATGTCTTATGAGATGTTATTAAAAAAATAACTTTTATATTATTAATTATGTTTTATTAAAAAAATAAATAAATATTTTGGTTAGGAGAAACGTATAAATTCACGATGAAATAATGTAACCAATATTTATATTTATCACATAAATGTGTAAACTAAATTATCAAAATGTGGAAGTTTTAAAGTTTATTACTTCAACATTATTATGTAGTTTATTATAATTTACTACGTTTTCATCAATGTTAAGTTACATTTTTAAAAAAGTGTTTGTTACACAATAAACGGACGTCCCCGACTCTTACACATATTAATTACTTCGAAAATAAGTAATGTTCTGTAATGAAATTCCCTGTGATTCTATCTTATATTTTTAAGAAAATAAGAACATATTAATACTGTAGATACTTTCTGAATATTTCGCGTGTTTTCCTCGCTCAGTCTGTGGAATTCTGTTTGGAAAACATTCCTTTTGCAGCCTTTTAATGAAATTTTGACGTTTTTTTTTATTGTTATATAGTGAAATGCGATGTTTGCAATTCGAATATTTAAAATTTACCTTATATTCACGCATCTTACATTTGAAAAATGTCATAAAATCGTTAAACAAATACTTCAGAAAATACTTTACTTGTAAAATATTTTCTCATAAATCTCTATCAAATCAACAATAATGTTAAAAAATATCAATAGTCTAACAGTACGAAGACAAGGAGCATCTCTTGTGTTACAGGAAAGACAAATAAAAAGTCTGTGAATACATATTAGAGTATGTATAATATACTCTAAAACAGTAGAATGGAAAGGGTTAGAGTTTATGACACGAACAGTCTACCATATGTATAGACAAGTCCATATATCTCAGGCTTAATGAATAGCAATTCCTAAAATTATTAACTGTGATATAATTAATATGGATTTAAACATACTAGAACAAGAGACAAAGATGCAGATTTTTAAATAGATGACAAGAATTATTATCTTTTCTTAAAATTATTAAAATATTAAAGAAAAAGTAGACCATTTTGTAGNTATTATAAAGCTAGTTGTTCATCAAGAATTTTAACTTTCAACAACGAAAGGAAGCCATTTTTCATAATATAAACGTATAACTTCAACGTGCCAACCTTCATAAATCCTTATTATTATGTTTATAATGAGAATTACATTTTAATATAATAAACTTTATTTTGTACATTTAAATGAAAATATTTAATACTTAATTTATAATAATTTGTAGAAAAATTATAAATGTTCTGACAATTTTCTAACCATTTCCTTAGATAATTAATAACAGTTAGCTTTGACGTTTGTAATATAATAATAATAATAAATATTAATGTAAAAAATCTTAAATTGTACAGAATTTAATTAAACTTTAATTAATTTAATTGATAAATTAACATTTTACTTAATTAGAAAATTAAAAATCAATATTTTAAGATTATTTCATAATAGATTTTTTTTTATTTTTACATTCCTTTATTAATAAAATTATTATTTAAAAAAATAATTATATATTAGTGTCAATCAAGAACACGGACATTTATTACTATTTTTATAATTGTTCACTTCCAATAATGGTTTTAAAATGCCGATAAAAAAGTAGAACTCAGAACAATTATTTTATGTCATTGGTGTCTTAAAACTAGTGACACAAAAGTAACAGATATGAGCAATTATGGTTTGTCCAGTTAAAAAACAATGGATATAAACAAGTATTTTTTCATCCTATCTTAAAACTATTGACACAAAATCCATTATTATTTGTGTCTTCAATGAAAATAATTCATATTGTTTGTACTACTTTTTTTTAACTCTTTCCGCCCTGTAGTCATTAAGAGGATCTCTTTTAGTAAGCCCATTCTGAGTTCGGCCAGACCCCCAATGGGGCGGCCGGGTGGTGGAGACGGGGCGCGATATATTCGGATGGACCACCCCCCGAAAAATCCCTGGGAATTTTTTTCACCCGTCCGGATTCGATCCTGGGTCCTCCAAAGCGGTAGGCTGCCACCTTGACCGTTCTTGACCGATTATACTATTGTACGAATTATTGTTCATTATCTTTACTACTGGAATGAAAATTGGAGTGTTGAATATGAACAATTATTAATTTTCCTCATCACTGCTTGCTTAGCCTTGGAGAGCTTAAAGGTGTTAGAATCTTCGAAGCTTAAAGGATTTTCAAATAGAAAAAGTGTAAATGGACAGAAATTCAGGAGACTTTCAAAATTAATTGTCGTTTAGAACTTCCAGATGTGTTAATCTACCATTCATCTTCACTATTTTCAAACTATCTTTTAACTAATCATCATCGTTGTGATTTATTCAATATGTATGCTAAAAGAAAATGAGAAAATTTTCTTCTAAAATAAAGAAATCAAATGGAATAAATTACAGTTAGATGAGTTCTGTTCAAAGGTATTTCTTTATAGTTAGTTACCCTAAATAACCGTTTGTGATGAAAGTTTCTAGGAAGTATTGTTGCACCATTATTTACTGTCCGATTTCTTGATAAAGAAGTGAAAAAATCTAGTAAAGAGTTAAGTATTTTCTTCGGAAAAGTTACGTATGCTTAAGAAAAAACTAACTTGTAAGACACGAAATTAAAATTGTGCGTGGCACCATCCGTTACCAGACGTTATTAAAAAAATAACTTTTATATTATTAATTATTAAAAAAGACTTAATTTTGAAGATAGAGATAAGTTTTTAAAAATATTGTAAATGAGATAATGAATAAAATTTTCATTAATTCCGATAGGTCGAGATATGACACGTGTACTTCTACTCTTCAATCTTTAATCATCAAAATTTAACACCATCAATGCAATGCCCTTTATATCCAAAATACCAAGCCAAAGTTTTGAGATCCCTGAATCCAAAAAAGTAGAAAAAAGTAAAAAATTCCCTGTATATGTAAGTATTTGTTAGCGTCTATTTCGTTTAATAAGTCATGCTGGGGCATTGATTAAAAAACGAAATTTGGCATGGTAACTTGGGTATAAGGGGAGTTGATATCGTTAAATTTCGATGGTAAAAGTCGAAGGGTAAGAATGTAGAGGAAATTATGTGTCATATCTTGAATAGTGAAGGACTAGTGAGTGAAGATTTTACTAGATTTACATTTATATTTTTTAGATNGTTGTACAGTATGTGACTTTGCTGTATATAAAATCATTTAAATTAAAATTTTTAAAATGAAATTATTTTTAAAAACATTTTAAAAAGATATATAAATAATAATAAAATTTTCACTCAACGGAGTTCGCTGGAATGTGCAGTTTCAGAAACAATGGAGTAATGCCTGTCCTTAGCATTTTGTATCCAAATGCATGTAGATTTCTGACTCTTCAAAAAATTTGTATTAATTTACCTTTTCTTTTACAGTTTAAACAAAGATAGATTGTTGACAATAAGAATATTAAAGCAAATTATCCATTATGGTATATAAAAAACAAAGTACTGAAATATTGACTTTATATGTTGGCTTGAATAACTAGGAGTTGGAGTCACATTAAGGAAAAGTGCCCTTAAAGGAGAATTCGCACAGCGTAGGAATACATTAAAATTTTAGATTTGTCCTGAAAAGCATAATCATTTTAAACTATTTTTCGATTTATATTAAATATAAAGAACTAATTTATTCAATATAAGATTCTGATCTTTATTATCAATTAATTTGCTATAAATAACTATGAACCTTATTGGCTTTTCTGTTATAATTACATTTTCATCACACACCTTTTCGATTTTTTATTCAATCAACGCAAATATCAAATTAATTTATTGATATAAATAAGTAAAATTTATATCGAAAACTTAATATAGCCTACTGTATAAAAAAAATTTTGTAAAAAGCCAACTGAAATGTTACTTGTATATTATTTATATTTTTACTGTATAAGTGCTATTTACTGATTTTTTTTTTCATTTCTAGAGTTAAAGAGTAACTTCATATGCGGATTTTTAAACCTCATAAACCCAGTGAATTAATTTTTAGTGTAATAGCGCTTTGCTTTTCTTACACGCGTAAAAAATTAATTTAAAAAAATTATTGCTTTTCTTCATTATTTTAAAATCACTCAAAATTAGAGCGAATAAGTTGTGTTTGCACTATGTATTTTATTCTTTTATTTTTATGTTCCTACAATGCTTATTTTTCTGAAAATTGCATGTTAACTTAGAACATTTTTTCAAAATAAAAATCTTAAAGTCCTTAAAATTAATATTACTGTAGTAGTTTATGCAAAGAATTTTAAAATGAAACTCGAAAGTGTTGAAAAATGCTCTGAAGATAATCGGTCTGAGCTCCTAGTATTGATATAATATAAATCAGTTATATGTTTAAATTTTAAAACATTTTGCGATTTTAGAAACGCTGCGTTAGGTACACAATATTATGAATTTGCAGAAGCAATCTAATATTCTTAATAATCTAACGTCCATTAAAAAAAAATGCTCGCCAATGACCGAATGGATAAAACCACTCAACATTGCTGGTTGATCGAGGGTTTGTGCCTCGCCAGCGGGCTGGCCACGTGGAATTTTTCTGGTTTTCTTCATGTTAGTAACACATAAATGGGGGCCAGTTTCCCGTAACACCTCATGGGAGGCATTTTCAACTCGGCAGATTGCCCATGTGTTGCATTGCCATATATGAATAAAACTAATGGAGAGTGGGTGTTAATGAACTAGTCTAAGAATGAAAAGAAAGTGCACAAAAATATAAATAATTATAATTTAAATGGTACCATTAATCATCATCCAATTCTCATTTAAAAAATTTTTGATTGCATAAGAAAAATATTCATTTCCGATTAAATTTTCTTTCAGTTTATTAGTATTTTATGAAGTTCAGGGAATTATTTAAGAGACAACTTCACTAAATTAATACTTTTATAAAGGATTACAGAATTTTATTAATGAATAATAAATAACCGATTTTTCTCCTTTTTGAAGCCATATAGTTTTACTGTTGTGGATTAATTAATAACAACGGGATAAATAAATTTAATAATTCAGCGATTCTGAAAGGATATTTTTTCTGATTAACAAGTTTAATTAAGTTTTTATTATAGATTAGAGTTACAATTTGAATTGGGATTTTTTTTAAGTAATAAAATTAATTTCAAAAATGAAAACATTTTTTCTTAGAAAGAACGTCAAATTAAAAATAGCTACATATATAGATTTGTAAGCATTAGAATAGTCTGGTAGACATGAATCGGTCCAGAGCGGGAATCAAACTCAACCTTAGCTAACCGTGCGGTGCTCTGACCAGTTACGCTTCAGACATATTTAAACTTTAGATATGACCATCCCACTATTCTAAATTATATTAAAATTATAGTTTCTGCCTTCGATAAGAGATGGTGCCTAATGTCTACTTTTAATTTCTAATCACTTAATTTCTAAATCTTAATTGTAGTATAATGTTTCCCGATTAATTTGGTTATTGATTGGAAGATTAATAATACATCGGGCTATTGCAACGTTTATATATTAATATATTTACATAAGTAAATTGAGATTTTTACAGTTATGGGTTAACCGAATTAAATAGTCTTATTCTCGTTCACGGGATTGCAAATCTAATTCTCATTATCGCAGAATTCATTTGAACCGATAATGTAATAACGGTGTTTGACTGTAATATAATGTCAATGAGTAATATTTTCTGTATTTTATAGAAAATAGCTACTGAGATTAAAATGAAAATAATTTGTTATATTTTAAATCATAAACTCTCTGAAAGAAGTAATGTGTTTTTAAATGTAATTATATTTATTAATAATTATATCAATTTTTCTTTGTTTTTATTAATAGATGTACACTAGAATTTCAAATAAAGTAGTAGGTATATTGATGAGAGCAAGGAAACATGGTCTTCTTACTTTTGAAGGAGAGATGTTATTTCAGAGAAGAGATGATCATGTAGTTATAACATTGATCAAGACCATTGAAGAATTACATGAAATATTTGGAATTCAAGGTCCTGTTCCCACAAGAAAACGTTGCGAAGAAGTTGAAGAGGAAGATGATGATACAGAAAAACGTTACGAAGACGAAGAGGAAGATGTTGCATTTTTGGATGTTACAAAATTTAATTCTCGTAAATAGATTATAACACTATACAGTATTCTTGTCAAATTAATGACATAATACAGTTGTTAAAAGGTTTGTTAAAAATTTTATTGAAGAAAGAGAAAGCTTTAATTTTTTTTATTTATGTGAGCAATAGAGTTATATTTTTGCTTATATTAATATTGTATATTGAAAATTTGGCAATATATTTTTAAAATAAATATCGAACTATGTTTTAGCTGATTTACTCAATTTGTTTATATCCAGTAATTTTTAATTTCAATTTTAATGACAGATTTGTTTACAAATTTCTCAGATATAATGATTTTACATAACCAAATTTAAAAACTTAGATTATCATTTCTGAAGAGAAACAAATCATTACGAAAATATTGGAATGTTACGTCTTTCCCCAGCTTTACATTCGGGAACGTTCTCTGGCCAATCACAATTTAATTTATCTTGATTCCAATAAGTTCCCCCTTGACAACTCAGTATATATGCTTCTCCGTGGTTGCAACGATAATATTTAGAACAGTCTTCCTCATGACGAAAATATGTATTTGATTCATTTTCACAGTTTACTGTACCGGGTGATGCTGTAGATGGTTGAGCAAAAGTTGATTGTGTGAATGGTGTTGAATTACTTGGTTCTGTTGATTCTGTTTTTAATTTGCTGTCAGTAGCAATAGAAACTTCCTTAGTAGTTTTAAAGACTTCCTGTGATGCTCCTGATGTTACAGTTGTTGAAGGAGGAGTGGTTGTAGTAGTTGAAGGTGTTGGCACTTGATATCCTCTGAGGCGTTCATTCATAACTTTGAGAAGCGCATTTTTTTCACCACATACAGCTTGAAAATCATCCATGTCTATAGCCCAAATCATACCACCACCATATTTATGTTCTTTGATGAAATCCATCTAAATAAAAAAAAATTCATTAAAATAATATAAAATAATTAAATTTAGACAAAGAGATGTTTAGGTTATATTGTGAAAACTTTTAAAAGAAGAAAAAGAGTTTATCGTATAGTTTTGAGTTTAAACAAAATATTTTAATAAACCAAAATTAGTGTAATGCCGATAGACACAATGTAAATATATATATATAAGTATTTAGGTCATGAAATTCAAATGATAATGTCTTTTATTTCGCGAGAGCTATGGTAGTTTTTATAGTTTTAACAGACTTTTAAATTAGTTAAATGACTTTTCATAATCAAAAGCCATAACAGGATGAGCATAGTGAATCGGCCCCATTCAACTAGTGGAATGAAAATTGGTCCGAAAATAGGTATCAGTGAATTATTAATTACTGCCCAATACATAGAGAAATTTTTCACGAATTCAGGTTACATACGAAAATGTAAGTTTTGAATTTTTCAAAATGTCAGTGTTTCTTTGTGTCAAATCGCAAAGTAAAAGAATTACAGTAGACCCTCCTATAACGCGGGTTCCTATATGGAGATTCCTATAACATGGCGAAAAAATTGCGACAGTATTCGTATAAAGACGCTAAAAGGGACTCGTAAAACGTCGTCGCCGACTCGTGTCGCGACAGGATTGGTCGAATCTGGACCNAATACTATTACAGTTAATAAATTTTATATAATATTTTTAAAAGAAAACATTTATAATCTTTGATATGAATATTAAATAACGTTTAACTCCTTTTATGTGCAATTTTTCATTATTTATTTTTGTCTTTATTCGCATTTTATCTGATGATGTCGCTTGATTTATGATTAGTATTTTTCGCTCTGATTGTCTTCTAGTTTAAAGAAACTCTCCGAAACTCATCCCATTTTATCTATTGTTGTTCTTTTTTCCACCCCCTTAAACGTCTTCTTTCTCCTATCAAACTATGAATAGAAAAATTCTTTGGCATTCATCTCAACTTTTACATATTTTTAATTATTTAAAACTTTTTAATTCTTCTTTACACTTGACATTGAAAGACATATAACACCGATAATTTATTTTATTTTCTAAAAAAACAAAGAAATTTCATTAAAGAATGTAACAATAAAAATTAAATTTAAATGAAACTTTATTTAAAAAAATTAAAAATATAAGGAAAGTTTTATAAAGGAATAAGATATAAGTCAGTGCGGGTTATACGAACAAAATTACAATAGTTTAGTAAGTTTAAATCTTAATGTTATCCTTTATCATCTTAAAAATGGGTTGTATGATATTTGATTCCAGGGAGTTTATAGAATCTATTTATTTATTATTGAAAATACTTTTGTTGAAAACAGTTTCATATTTGCTGATAAGATTTCTAAACAGTTTGCTCTTGCAAATTCGTTCTGAATTGTATCTGTCGTTACTCTTGACAGATTTCTATCAAGAATGACAAGTAAATATTACCCCCAAAGAAGCAATATTTTTTTTTTTGAATTATCTATCCATCATAAATGTCTTTTATAAAAAAACAATATTTCCTTCCTTTTCTCATTTCATAAAACAGGAAAAATTTATTTTTGCTTTTTTACTTACATGTTTAAATTCAACGAAACAAAACTTTAAAAAAAATTATTATCGAAATAATTATTTTAAAGTATAATGTTGAACTTTCTAGAGCAAAGAAGAAAGTTAAACGAACTCGAAGTAGAACAGCATTTGCTTAATATTATTGAAGTAAATTCAAAGAAAATTCAAAGAAAAACATGAATGAAATAAGCTGATAATGACGGCTTTTCAAGAAGTTTATATTTATCATTACATCTGGTTTTTTTCAATCGAGTAAATGGAGAAACTGTTTATGACAATCCTTTTTTTAATGTATTTTTTTCGATCGTTTATCAAAAAAATTTGATAGAAAAAAAATANATTTCTTGTGAAAGAAACATTTCTTATTCAACGGTCATTAAAATTATTTATATTAATGATGTCTCCAAAGTTCAACGAATTTTTCGCAGAAAAATAACTTATCAGAAATCGCGGCCGCCGTTTGGTGCGCTGCTCCGCGACGAAAACAAGCTTAAGCAATGGCGACGTCGAACGGTGCACACTCGGTAAGGGTATCCTACAATTTTTTGTTTATAGCATAGTTTATACGGATTATTCCCAAAAAATTATACGTGTTTTGGAAATGTTGAGTCGAATTAGGCCGAGACTCCACTACCGTAAAAACGGCGTAAAAACCCCTCGCCGTAAAAGCTTTTAATCACGTGACTCTGATATTTTACGCTTAAGCAGGTCGTAAAACCAGCGTAAAAGCGAGTTGAGCAGTGTTCAACTTTCCACGCGAATACGGCCATAAAACGGTACCATCCACTAATCAGAAGTCAGTGAAATCTAGGTCATTGTGACACGCTGCGAAAATGGCGGAAAACGAGCTTTTGTGTACGTTCCCTCGTGGCTACTCTAGAATAGATCTGGAAAGATTTATCGAAAACATCCAAAAGTATTCGTGTATCTACGACAAGAAGTATCCCGATTATAATAATGGATGCCTAAAGCACGCGATATGGACGGCCAAAGGAAAATCCTTCAAAATTTAGAGGAGTATATAATGAAAAAAGCTAAGCTTAATAAGTGCTGTATATTATCTTAATAATACGACAATAAAAGTTAATATATGAAAGTAAAGATATTATTTTTACTACATTTGTAATTATAGTACAGAAAAAACTCGTAGAATATAATCATTGCTTTTATAACTTCGATAGTACCGTTGCCGTAAAAACTTCGCTAGACGGACCTCCACCGCAATTCAGACGCAAACGCAAATAGGTCACGTGATTAAAAGCTTTTACGGCGAAGGTTTTTACGCCCGTTTTTATGCTAGTGAAGTCTTGACCTTAGTCTAGAATCGATTAATTTTATGGAAGAAAACCTTTCAAACAGCCGTAGTCCGTAAACTTCACACGTGTCGGGCTGCGATTGGCTCATGTATTTAAGGATTCCTACAACGTGAAATTCGTATAACGTGGAACGTATCTACGCGTTATAGGGGGGGTCTACTGTATTACTGGAAAACATGAGGCACACTAAGATGGTATTCATTAGAAATATTTTTACCGCAAAATTCGATGAGAAAACTTTAAAAGATTTCAGAAACTTGCTTTGGAATAGGATGATAATTTCAAAAAGTTTTCAACAAAAATAAATAAGACAGTATGAAATCATACATGTTAGCCTATAATTTTTTTTCTGGCTATACTAACTTGTAAGAGGAAGATTATAATGTTTTACGTATTGAGGCTGACAAGAAACTTCTAAAGAAAGATTGACTTTGACATGAGACTGTTTCCTTAGGATACAATACACTGTAAAGACATTTTTAATATATTGTCTCTTTTGAGAACTTTTTCGTAAATTTTGTGTGTACTTATTGTCCCTGGCATTTTAAAACATTATAATCAATAATCATTATTCTATTCTTATTATAACATAAAAATAATTTTAAAGAATAATAATAAAATACAGTAATAATAAATAACTGGCCCAACATGATTACCCCGAAAATGATGCCATTTAGAGCCATTTTATCGATGTTTCTGAGTTTCTAAAAATTTCTTCAAAAAAGTTTCTAAAATTTTAGAAATTGCTTATTTTCTTTAATCTATTTAAATAATCTAAAATAATATTTTAAAAATTATTTTAAAACTCGAATTTTGCACCAAAAAGTAATTAAAAAATAAATTCGGTAATATACTCAAATGGTAAACGTGTTAAATAACTTAAAAAAAATTGTTTTTAGGATTATTTTCATCGATTACTTTTTAACTACGTTGCCTTTAGAGAATGAAAATAGAATTTTTTTATAGTGTAATATCAGGTAATGTATGATTCTTAAAACGTTATAATTGTCACCCTATTCTAAACATATGAAATCATTTGTATATTCAGAAAATAAAAGATATATTCTGCTGCGAGAAAATAAAATGATACTGTATAAAATAAATATTTTTGAGCAAAAGATTTGATTTTAAAATATTACAATCTGCAAAGTTACAACGTTGATCTTTTACCTTGATCCCGATGCTATCCACATCTTCGTAACCAATCCATTGATCTTCATAATAAGCATAAGGGCATTTTCCAATATCATCGTATTTTTTCGTCCACTCTTTTGATATAATATGAGGACATATCTTAAAAAAATTGTTAAAATTTTACAATGATTGAAATTGCAAAAAACAGGAGGAAGAAAGTTTATTTTATATTACCTCGTAATAAGCCAGAAAACCAGAAGCATTAGTGTAAGGACCAGCTTCTCCGCCACCGATCCATTTTTTGATGGGCGCTCTCAATTCCGTATTAGATTTACTACCTAGAGTGTAAGTTCTACCATAGAAAGGTACACCAACTATAAGTTTGCGCTTGGGAGCACCATATTCTACCCATAGTTGTAATCCGTCGTGCTGAAATATAGTCAAATGTTTTATATTTTTCTACGATAGATACGACTTTAAAGTATCATAAAATTGTATTTTTTGCAAATAATTAAGCCTTATTTACCACATTCAGTTTTTCATAAGCCCACTGATCGAAAGGACGACGATAAAGAGGGCTATGGACATCAGCAAATCCAGCCCAATTCCCACGTAAATCGTAGGTCATCACATGGATATAATCAAGTAATCTAATTAGAAAAAAATTAAATATTTTTGTTAAAATAATAGCAATTGAAGTCACTTTCTTACTTTTTCTTGTGTATGTAGTTGAATCAAAAGAAATAACTTCAATGTTCAAAACAAATGCTGAAGAACTTTTCTTGTCGAAAGCAAAATTATTTTAATGTAATCATTTATTCGTAACGTGGATAATGTGAAGTTATTTATTTTGATTTAATGGTAATATAATATTATATTTTTCATATATAATTTAAACAGATTATCAGGCACATATCCAACAGGAAAAATAGAAATTAAAAACTAAAACTTAACGCTGATTGTAACCTGTTTGATTATTCACGCGAATCTTTAGCAGATACCGTTAAAAATTTAATGCTTTCTCTACGAGAAAATCCTTTTCCAAAAATTGAAGCAGTGAGCTCAAAAAGGGACTTGTCAATGATTTTTGGAGTATATGAGTTAAGACCATTGTGTATATATATGAACAATTCTATACAGTTTGATGATAAAATGAAAATTATTCGCATCTCTGAAAATAAACGGTTTAGCCGAAAAAGAGGATTTGTCAGATTGTCATGTCCTGTTTTTGCGTTGATATTGAAATAGTTATACATAGAACCAAAAGTCCATTCAAGTATTACGTCAGCAGCTTGAGGGATGAATGATTTGTTTGTATCTGATGATTGCTGATGATGGGGAAGAGAAGGTGAATGATGACGTAAGGTTGCACTCATTCTCTATTTTTCTCTTCAGCTATCACTGAATTGTCTGAAAATAATTCCTGTGTATTTGCGAATGGTTTAAACCTTTGACACCTAACACGATCTAAGCTTTATTTTAAATTAAATACATATTTTGTCCAATTCAAGAGGACCGAACAAACAATAGAGACGGCCAACATGAACGAAGGATAATCCTCGTAACGAAATTTTTATGATGTTAATAAACTTATTAAAGTTCCAATAGAGCATTATGCGATACAGGCAAAAAACAGAGCCTATTTTCCAACATGTATGTACTTCTAACATCTGAAACAAGCCAAAGGCAAATGAAAATAACAGAAAAAAAAAATACTGGCAAAAGCTCTTTCAAAATTCGAACATAAAGTTAAGAAAACCAGGAAGTTCGATAATTTTTATTTAAACTACTACATAAAATTAAAATAATAATAAAAACTTAAAAGGGTAATTATGTTAAATTGTCAGAAATTTTTCTATTTTTTAAAGAAGAATATTTAGGTTTTAAAAAGCTAAGATAAGGCTCAAAGTTAAATTGTGTGGCACCACTTGTTATAAGATTTTATTTTAAAAATACTTTTTATATTGTTTGTCTATTATACGGCAACGCAACGCTTAGGCGATCTGTCTAGAGGGATGCCTTTAGACAGATCTTTAACAGGACAGTTAACAGGACCTTTAGACAGACTTTAACGGGACAGTTTGTTTTTTTTTTTTGCCTTAAAAAGGGCAAACTGTCCCGAATAGGGGACAGTTTACCCTTTTTAAGGGCAACTGTCCCCTATTCGGACTTTACAGACGCGGAGAAAACCCGAAAAACTCCACGTGGCCAGCCCGTCCTGGCGAGGCGTGAACCCACGACCGAACTCTTAGTATTCAGGAAATGGAACCGCTTGGCCACTGGTGGATCACTTTTATATTATTAATTATTATAAAAAAGCAAAAGCCTTATTTTGGGATAAGAATTTACATTTTAACAAGATGTAAATACCAATAAAAAGTAAAAGTTTAATTAAGTCTGATTCCACTCGAGATATGACTTCTACCTCATTTATCCTTTTTCTTGACACAATATCCAAAATTTAACAGCATAAATATCCCAAATATAGAACAACCTTGCCAAGTTTCAAAATGTTTGGTTCATTCAGTCCTGAGATATAATGTAAAATAGATGTAGATACACACACACGCACGCACACCAGTGTTGCCGCAATGAAATTTCAAAACGTACTGAAGCACCTTCAAAAAATGTACTATTTTCCTTCAAAATGTACTAGTTCTATGAATACTTTGTTTACGTGCCTATATATATATATATATAGGCACATAATTTATATACTGTATATAGTTTATTGTCATATAATTTAATTTTAAATCTTATTTTTGGAATTTTTTGAAAGCTATTAAAAATATATCTACACATCTATTACTTATTATAAAATGAGCATTACATTGACAACATTTATTAATAATACTATTGAATTTCATCTTAATTTTATAACCATTCGTGCTTTAAAAAAATAATTATACATTTGTTATATTATTATATTCTTGTTTGCTTAAAACATGCGACTCAAAAACAACCCCAAAATGGCGGCTCAAGAAGTAGATCACGCGTGTCCTGGCCTTCTTATATAGACATTGAAACAGTCAGAAGCGCGGCCATTTTGGAACCATACGTAACATTAACCCTTATTTCTTTTACTACGATTATTAAAATTGAAGTTCATAATTTAAGAATTAAATTATAGTGGTAGAAAATAATATAAAAGTATTTATATTATTTATACTCGTACAATTTCAAAACTATTTTCTGTAATAATTTGTTTCTGACTTAACGGATATTTTGATATTATTGACGACAAAAGTTTAAAATCATTGATTTCCTTACCTGTCCATTATTTTTGTTTGACGGAGTTGAATTGTTTGGACCACGTGGCATGAAAAATTTTGTCAAGGTCCTGATGAGAATGTGCAGACAACTGAACGTGTGAAAGAAGACCACTGAGTCAAGACCGTTTACACGTGCAACTATCTATGTTGCCGACGGACACACACCATTTGTATGTTGTGAATGGATAATTTAAATTAGCAAGCAGTGATACTAGTGAGACTTTATTAAACTAATTTTTTCGTTAAGGCGTGAAATATTATTTTGTACCGTAAATGGTACTTGAAATATTATAATGTACTGAAAATGTACTAAAAATCTAAATGTACTTTCAATTTACTGGAAAGGGCAAAATGTACCAGAAAAGTACAAATGTACTAGGAACTGCAACACTGACGCACACCTACCTATATACATAAACACACACATACATACAGAATTTTGTATGCGTGTTTTTACATTTTTGGGCTCATTAAGTGTCAAACGTCAAGAAATGCAAAAAAGGAGCAATAAAATTTGACCGATTATCATACTTTTCCTATGTTATATTCTATAACAGCAGGAAAATATAGACCCTGATAACTAAGAAGGAAGCCCGCCATCAGAGCATGGAAAACAAAATACTGAGGAAACTAAACTAAGTTATTTGCTTCATACAAAAACCAAGACACTGGAAAATGAAGAAGAAAAATAAATGCAGACCGAAAAGCTATGGTGGCTAGAGCACGTTCTAGGAACAGACGATTAGAAAAGACCCCAGAAGTCGTTTTCAAAGATTCCACCACGGAAAAGACTCGAGATCATCCTCAAAAATAGTGGCAGGATGAGGTTAAAATATCCATTTTTTTGGAGAAGTTTTTGCAATTTAAGAGAAACTTAGGCCTGTTCTAAATTATAGCTTAGAGATATTTTCACTTTTTTACTAGAAATAACTGCATTATATGTGTGTATTCATCCAGTTAAGTATGAATATGTATGAAATGTGTATTTTAATCCATGGCTTATTATACAGGGTATCCACTTAATTCAACATTTGTCCTAGGGCAAAAGAGATCTTCCCAGCATTGCACAAGTGTATAAATGTGATGTAGATTATTCCAGCGCCAAAATAACCAAAGGTAATTAATTTAAGATAATTTAGCATAATATTCAATATATAAATAATCTCTGACTGTAAGCAATAAGCACAATATTGCAGAAATTGATGCAAAAAATTAGCTTTATTTTGTTAGAGGACATCTTCAAAACGCTGCCTTAAATTAAGAGAAAATAGAAAGTTGTATACGATTGAGAATGTCCTTATGGATAGCATGTAGCATTCCTGGTGTCATTGTTTCACAGGCCTCACGTATACGTCTCTTCAGTTCATCAACATCACGCGACGTTGCTTGGTACGCACCGTACACCGATCCACCGTTCAGATATCAGTCATTATTCAGGGTGCCGTCAATGAATACGAGACCAAGAAATTTCTTACCATAAATTCCTGGTTTTGGAATTTAAGGTCAAATACAATTGGTGTCGCGTATATCATGGAATACGTAGTATTGCACATTGTGAAGGTTATACATTCATCCAATGAAAATAGTTCCTTGTTGGGCCTTAAAATGTGTTGAAGGAATCGTGATTCGTCACGCTGCAAATTTGACACCGTATTGCACACGCAAATCTCTGTGTTGCATCCTCTACATGTTGTGCTGGTTGCAGATTGTTGTGGAATGGGGCATGTCATGGTGACATAATATCCGATGTGTTTCTGTCTTTGTTTTGTATAATTCTTTCCGTCGTAGAAGCAGTAAGAAGGGCTGTTTCAGCAAGCCCATTATGCGTTCGTCCAGATTCACAATGGCGCCCACTGTGGACCTGGCCGAACCCATAATGGGATTGCTAATGGAGGCCCTCTTAGTGCTCACATGGCGGAAAGAGTTTAAGGAAATCTAACCAATCGAAGACTATTCTGCCGTGTTTGATACAATTGAAGTATGAACATTGGCAGAATCTATTGTTCTTACTATTTCAAGATAATTTGATAAATATTTTTCATCTTTTGGTAACTTGACGTACATGAACATGTTATACATCATATTAAAGTATGTGATGAATAAAATAAGATATGGGTACTGATATAAAACACCGATGGAAAGCGTGGGTTAACAAGAGCTCTAAATAAGGCTAATCAATGATGTTTATCGATTTTTTACATGAGTTTTGTTATTTTAAGCCTGATAAACACATTCTGTAAGATACAGGAATGTATATAATAATAATAATAATAATAATAATCCGGAAGAAAGGCTCTAAGTATAAACCTGGGTAGGGCTGCAGTAATCAAATAGATGTGTTGTCAGCGGCTATTTTGATAAGCTGAAAGATGTATTGG